GGAGGGGGTGACAGCCCCCTCCAACCCACCCAAAGTGACATTTTGGAGGTCCCAACTCCCCTGGAGAAACACCCTCCGGCAGCGCGAGGAGGAGGGGGGGGTGACCCCAAAATCGGGGACAGGGGGGGTCACCTCCCCCCCCGAACAGGGACCAGACTCACCTCTGTGGGCTCCCAAAACGTCCCCGAGGGCTAGTAGCCACCCCCGGGGGCCGGCTCGGCCTCCCCCCAGGCAGCAGCAGATGAATATTGAGGGCGCAGTCGGGGCCGGGATTAACAAAGTGTTTCCTGTTTGCTCAGCGCGGCGATGCCAGCCGGGAACGCGTGGCCACCACGGGACCAGCCTCTGGTGGCCACACACGCCCTCTGGGGTGGGCAAGCACCCAAGGAGGTTGGCAAAGGAACCCCCAAGGATGAGGGGTTCCCCGCCGTTTGGTGGGAAGACCCCAGGAAACTCGCCGGGAGAAGCTGGAGTTGTCCGTTGAGTTGGGGAGCAGGGACACCGCCAGGTGGTGGCCACCAGGAGCTGGAGGTGGCAAATGGGTGGCAACCGGTGAAGTTCATCGACCTGAAGTCAATTGGCAGGTGGGGACACGTGCCAAGGGAGAAGGCAGATGTGGTAGTCACAGCTGGAGGCCACGTCATCTCGGAGAAGGTGATGGTGGAGTCAGGGAGCCACTACAGGAGCCACCTCCCACCAGGCCAAAGTTGGGGACCACCAGGCAGGAGCTGGGGCAACCAGGCTAATACTGGAGCTGTGGCCCAACAGGAGGGATGGTGGCCACCACAAGCCCACAGACCAGGCCCAGGTTGGGGACCACCACGCAGGAGCTGAGGCAACCAGGCTGAAACCGGAGCTGTAGCCCAGTGGGATGGATGGTGGCCACCTCTAACTGCTCGCCAAAGCCCTACAAGCCCAGAGACCAGGCCCAGGTTGGGGACCACCAGGCAGAAGCTTGGGCAACCAAGCCAATACTGGAACTGTGGCCCAACAGGAGGGATGGTGGCCACCACAAGCCCACAGACCAGGCCCAGGTTGGGGACCACCACGCAGGAGCTGAGGCAACCAGGCTGAAACCGGAGCTGTAGCCCAGTGGGATGGATGGTGGCCACCTCTAACTGCTCGCCAAAGCCCTACAAGCCCAGAGACCAGGCCCAGGTTGGGGACCACCAGGCAGAAGCTTGGGCAACCAAGCCAATACTGGAACTGTGGCCCAACGGGATGGATGGTGGCCACCACAAGCCCACAGACCAGGCCCAGGTTGGGGACCACCAGGCAGGAGTTGGGGCAACCAGGCTGAAACCGGAGCTGTAGCCCAGTGGGATGGATGGTGGCCACCACAAACCACTCACCAAAGCTCTGCAAGCCCAGGGACTTGCTGCAGGAGCCACCTCTCACCAGGCCCAGATTGGTGACCACCAGGCAGAAGCTTGGGCAACCAGGATATTATTGGAGCTGTAGCCCAACAGGATGGATCTTGGCCACCTCCTGCCTGGCCAAAGTTGGGGACCATGAGGCAGGACTTGGGGCAACCAGGTTGACAGTGGAGCTGTGGCCCAACAGGATGGATGGTGGCCACTACAAGCCACTCACCAAAGCTCTGCAAGCCCAGGGACTTGCTGCAGGAGCCACCTCTCACCAGGCCCAGATTGGTGACCACCAGGCAGAAGCTTGGGCAACCAGGATATTATTGGAGCTGTAGCCCAACAGGATGGATGGTGGCCACCACAAGCCACTCACCAAAGCCCTGCAAGCCCACAGACCAGGCCCAGATTGGTGATCACCAAGCAGAAGCTTGGGCAACCAGGATATTATTGGAGCTGTAGCCCAACAGGATGGATGGTGGCCACCACAAACTGGTTGCCAAAGCCCTGCAAGCCCAGGGACCTGCTGCAGGAACCACCTCCCACCAGGCCCAGGATGGGGACCACCAGGCAGAAGCTGGGGCAACCAGGCTGAAACCGGAGCTGCAGCCCAGTGGGATGGATGGTGGCCACCACAAACCACTCACCAAAGCCCTGCGAGCCCACAGACCAGGCCCAGGTTGGGGACCACCAAGCAGAAGCTGGGGCAACCAGGCTGAAACCGGAGCTGCAGCCCAGTGGGATGGATGGTGGCCACCACAAGCCACTTGCCAAAGCCCTGCAAGCCCATGGAGCCACTGCAGGAACCACCTCCCACCAGGCCCAGGATGGGGACCACCAGGCAGGAGCTTGGGCAACCAGGCTGAAACTGGAGCTGTGGCCCAACGGGAGGGATGGTGGCCACCACAAGCCACTTGCCAAAGCCCTGCAAGCCCAGGGACCTGCTGCAGGAACCCCCTCCCACCAGGCCCAGGATGGGGACCACCAGGCAGAAGCTGAGGCAACCAGGCTAATTCTGGAGCTGTGGCCCAACGGGGGGGAGGGTGGCCACCACAAGCCACTTGCCAAAGCCCTGCAAGCCCAGGGACCTGCTGCAGGAACCCCCTCCCACCAGGCCCAGGATGGGGACCACCAGGCAGAAGCTGAGGCAACCAGGCTAATTCTGGAGCTGTGGCCCAACGGGGGGGAGGGTGGCCACCACAAGCCACTTGCCAAAGCCCTGCAAGCCCAGGGACCTGCTGCAGGAACCCCCTCCCACCAGGCCCAGGATGGGGACCACCAGGCAGAAGCTGAGGCAACCAGGCTAATTCTGGAGCTGTGGCCCAACGGGGGGGAGGGTGGCCACCACAAGCCACTTGCCAAAGCCCTGCAAGCCCAGGGACCTGCTGCAGGAACCCCCTCCCACCAGGCCCAGGATGGGGACCACCAGGCAGAAGCTGAGGCAACCAGGCTAATTCTGGAGCTGTGGCCCAACGGGGGGGAGGGTGGCCACCACAAGCCACTTGCCAAAGCCCTGCAAGCCCAGGGACCTGCTGCAGGAACCCCCTCCCACCAGGCCCAGGATGGGGACCACCAGGCAGAAGCTGAGGCAACCAGGCTAATTCTGGAGCTGTGGCCCAACAGGAGGGATGGTGGCCACCACAAACCACTCACCAAAGCCCTGCGAGCCCACAGACCAGGCTCATGTTGGGGACCACCAGGCAGAAGCTGGGGCAACCAGGCTAATACTGGAGCTGTGGCCCAGTGGGATGGATGGTGGCCACCACAAACCACTCACCAAAGCCCTGCAAGCCCATGGACCCGCTGCAGGAACCACCTTCCACCAGGCCCAGATTAGTGACCACCAAGCAGAAGCTTGGGCAACCAGGCTGCTATTGGAGCTGTAGCCCAGTGGGATGGATGGTGGCCACCACAAACCACTCACCAAAGCCCTGCGAGCCCACAGACCAGGCCCATGTTGGGGACCACCAGGCAGAAGTTGGGGCAACCAAGCCAATACTGGAGCTGTGGCCCAACAGGAGGGATGGAGGACACCACAAACCACTCACCAAAGCCCTGTGAGCCCAAGGACCTGCTCCAAGAGCCACCTCCTGCCCGGTCAAAGTTGGGGACCACCAGGCAGGAACCAGGGCAACCAGGCTGATACTGGAGCTGTGGCCCAACAGGAGGGATGGTGGCCACCACAAACCACTCACCAAAGCCCTGTGAGCCCAAGGACCTGCTCCAAGAGCCACCTCCTGCCCGGTCAAAGTTGGGGACCACCAGGCAGGAACCAGGGCAACCAGGCTGATACCGGAGCTGTAGCCCAGTGGGATGGAGGGTGGCCACCACAAACCACTCACCAAAGCCCTGTGAGCCCAAGGACCTGCTCCAAGAGCCACCTCCTGCCCGGTCAAAGTTGGGGACCACCAGGCAGGAACCAGGGCAACCAAGATATTATTGGAGCTGTGGCCCAACAGGAGGGATGGTGGCCACCACAAGCCCACAGACCAGGCCCAGATTGGTGACCACCAAGCAGGAACCAGGGCAACCAAGATATTATTGGAGCTGTGGCCCAACGGGAGGGATGGTGGCCACCACAAACCACTCACCAAAGCCCTGTGAGCCCACGACGCCCAGTGAGAGCGATGAAGGAGGAAGCAGGGGGTGAAAGGAGCTGAGAAATCCCCTCCTCTTCCTCCTGGAGGGCGGGGAGGGGCGGGAGGAAGGTTATTTACCCGGGGGGGGGCTGGAAGGATGGGGAGGGAGCGGCTCCACAAGTGCCGACGTGCCAGAGAGACGCCGGCTGGGCTGGAAAACAAACCCTAAAAAACCCTTCAAAATCATCTTTTCCTTCCCCAAAAGCCCGGCAGCAGCAGCCAGGGGGGGGGTCCTACGGGGCCAGGGGGGGGGTCCTCCCCCCCCCCCACCCCAAAATAAACCACAGCGGAGCCGAGCGACGGTGTCAATTTTTAACTTTTTTTTTTGCTTTTTTTTTTAAAGATGGACTTCCAATTTACATTAAGACAGTTCTAACAAATTCATTCCTTGTTCACAGAAAGAAAAAAAAAAAAAGAAATTATATTAAATAATTTCTGCCAATAAATAACATTTTCACCATTTTTTTTTTCTCCTTTAAACAGAACTAAAAAAAAAAAAAAAAACAAGTTTTCTAGGGGGCTTCTTTTAAGATGGTTTCTCCATTCCCCAGTCATCCAAGTAGCTTTTTCCATGCCAATTCTTATTTGAGTTTATCTGTTTTGAACAGAATTATATGCCATCTTGGTATAGCTGCGTTACTGCCTCAGTTTAGAACTGTGTGGTGCGTTATAGCACTGTGTTAACTTTTTCTTATCTCTAATAAGACAGTGACTCCCAGTCAATCAGTGACCAACTGGCATAAGCGGGTTTTGCTCTCAGCACACTTTGCTAAGAAAATAAAAATAAAATAAAATAAAAAAAAAACCAAAAAAGGAGGCAGTCTCCAGGCAACGGGCGTATGATCCTTCAACATCGAGAACCCTAAAAATCACCCAAAATGCACCCAAAATGTGTCCCCGTGGAGGAAGGGGGGGGGGTCAGTCCTCCCTGGCAGAGGCCACTCGGCCTCTCCGTGTCCTTGCCACCGCGCCGAGCCAGGTGGCCACCAGTCCCTGCCCCAGGGCCACCAAGGGGGGCTCCTCTGGGGGCTGGCACCGGCGGCGAGAGGTTCTCCCAAACGCCAAAAAAAATGAAAAAAAAATTTAAAATAAACACATTTCTCCCCCCTTAACCCTCCCCAAAAAAAAGGAGAAAAAGCTGGAACTCAACCCACCACCCGACCCATCGCAGACCCCCCCTCCTTGTTACATGCACCTCCCTAAAACATGCAAAAATAAACCCCCGGGCTGCGGAGGAGGCAGCGGCTGGGCTTCCCCCGGGGGGGG